TTTGAGCGATTTTGAAATAAATTACAAAGCCGATGTGCCGGGCCTACGCACGCGACGGTTTGGCGCGCGAGTTTTCAAACTTTTTGTAACGATCGAAATCGGTAGTTACTCCTGATCGTAGGTAGTAGATAGTAGTTCGAAGGTTCAATCGTTAGTTCACACAAATCGAATCCACTTGGTCTACAAAAAAATATTAGCAAGGATTGTGCTATCAGAAACGAAAACATCACGATTGTTCAGTTTTTATTGTCTTCATGTGATATGTCGTCATGGAAAGCTGGTCGCCGTCGCGTCGCGTTGGCTTCTAAAACTTTTCTTTCTAAAATCGAACGATGTACTGGATGCGGTCCTCAGCACTGATCTTGGGGAACAGCCAGGCGGTGTGCGTCACGACCCGCAATACGTGATGGGTAAAAATGTGGTAAAAATGTGGCGGCGCTCATTTCTCGCTTGACACCAGCGAGTGAACATCTCAGCGAGCTCTTGGCACATACAGAGACAATAGAATGGGAATTAAAACCTTGCTTCCTTTTCTGAAAGACGTCACTGAAAACAGCTATTTAGACAGTTTTAAAGGTCTCGTGGCGGCCGTAGATGCGTCTTGTTGGTTACACAAGGCCATTGCGATCAGTTATTCGCAATTCGGAGACGATCGAAGGTGAGAACTTTTAATATGAAAGTTTTACTATGTCTTAATTTGTATTGCATTTTAACTAATGTTTTTACTTCTTAGAGTGAAGGAGATCTGCAATTCTTATCTGGATCTACTGGAAAGGAATAAAATTCGACCGTTGGTCGTGTTCGACGGATTGCCGCTACCGGGCAAGGACAGAGAGCGTGATAACAGAGCAATGTGAGAGAATTTTTTTGCATTGACAGTTGAAGCTCAGTTCAAATATTTAAGCCTTTTGTCTAATTTTCTTTAGTAGAAATGATTTTTTCAGCAGACATTGATCTCCCATAAATCTTCTTCCTTTAGGCAAAGAAAACAACAACAGCAAAAAGCTGACCAACTTCGGCGCAGTGGAAAGGTGACTGAGGCAAGAAACGCTTTGGCTGCAGCTGCAGAAATTAACCACGATCTCGTCTGTGGGTTTATTCAAGTAAGTCTAAGTCTCAATTTTGGCATAAAGTTTATCATTTCAGTAAGCTTAAAATACATTTTTTTTCTAGACTTCTTAATAATTAAATATTGTATTGTTTTTAATTAAAAATTGAATGACCTCGTTAAGATAATTTTTTATTCTTTTCATTTATAGACTTGCCGACAAAAGTCTATTGATTATGTGGTAGCTCCGTACGAGGCTGATGCAGAGATAGCATTACTTTATGAGCATGGCTATGTAGATATTGCAATCTCAGAGGATTCCGACCTTCTTGCTTATGGATGCCAAAAGGTACATTGAATAACCCATACAATTTATCATCCAAATGCTTATTCAAAGCCTGGCTGTGTTTACTTGATTTTCAACAGAATGAACTATAAACTTATAGTTTTAGTCCTTTTATATCGTAACTATTAATTTCATAAACTAGAACCCAATTGCAAATAGCAGCAGATCTCTGAACACTTTAAAGGTTTTACTGAAAAAAAAAAAATTTAGAGGCTTTCTGTAATTTTTAATCATTTTCTTATTCTTTTTATTGTCATTAGGTTCTTTTTTTCGATTATACAATTTTATTAATTTGTACAAGTATCAATTTGAAATTAGTAGCACTTAGAATTAGTTATAAATTGTATACATTTTTATTTTTATGAACTCAATGTTTTGCGCAGGCGATCATACAGGTATACTCATGAAGCCTGTGCAATATAAATGCATATACTATTATTACTATTACCTTTGGTTTTCTCCGTTGAACACAAAAGACCATGAATAAAAATAAGGAAGGGTTTTCCCTGAACACCCCTAATTTCCCTATCTATCTATAGGTTTTGTTCAAGTTGCGACTCGATGGTGTGTGTGAAGTAATCGAGTTAGGAAAGGTGTTGCAACATTTGTCACTGACACAGGAAGAATTCCTGGACATGTGCATTGTTGCAGGTTGTGACTACTTAGAAAATGTACGTGGCATTGGTATCCATACTGCCCACAAGCTCGTGACAAAAGAAAAACAGATTTCTTAGCTGTTTTACAGAGAAATCGATTTGCCCCGTCAGACTACAGTAGTGGATTTCAAAGGGCCAAGGCAATATTTCGTCACCAGACAGTGATTAATCCTATAAATGCAGAAACCATGCCACTTACGCCTTGGGGACAAACACCAGATAAGGAAGCTTTTCTGAACCCTTGTGGAATGTATCCAATTTAAGTAATTATAATTACTCACTATAAGTGCTCTTGCTCACTGTTTTTTATCTGCTATGATTGTCTGGGCGAGAGAATTTCTTATTCTAAAAGAATTTCTTATTCTAAAAAATATTTTCATAAACGAAATTAAGTATTTAAAAAGTAGCCTGAGAATTTTTGCTGTATGGCATTCACATGGAATAATTTACAATAATTGGATTTGAATTGATGGTGTGCTGAAAACTGTGTAAAATCAGATAGTCAGTTGTTGTACAGTTTCATTAGAGTGATTTTCATGAGACCGTGAAACAGTATCTAGCAATTAATCAAAATTAGCCAAAATTAGCTAAAACAATGAAAACAATGAAAGAAAGAAAACATGGAATTAATGTCTAATAGTGTGTACTAGTGCCTACTAACTTAGTAACTGTTTCACGGTCTTTTGAAAATCATTTTATGCATTTTAAAAAACTAGCTTTTCAAAGATAGAAAATAATCCATTTATTGTGTTTTGTTGATTACTTAATATCATATTAGCCTTCTCTCAAATGAGTATGCAGTTAACCTTGCTGTGGGTAATGTTGATCCCAGGGAGAGCACAACTATCAGGAATACCTTTGCACTTCCCATCAAGGTAAATTATATGCTAACAACTAATTTATTCTTTCTATTTTATTAACTGATAAAGCGGAGTATGCATCACATCTTTAAACTATTTTTATTCAGAAAAACTTTTAACTTAAACATTACAGATAAAATACTGAGAAGTCTCAAGTGACCTTCTAAACTCTTGACCATGTGTTGTTTTTAGAAGTGGCTTATTTACAATCATTTAGTTTCTATTGTGGAATAAAAAATGTGCTATAACATTGGCCTTTTTCAGTTCATCCCACATGAATGTGACAAATAACTAATTCTCAAGAAAATGCTTCCTTCTTCATTCCTTTAATCCAAAAAGAACTGAAGAAAGACAAAAATAACTAAGGACACCATTATTAATTGAAATATACTAAACAAGCTTGCTCATCACAGCTATTCACATGCAGTGCACTTAGTTACATAATTTATACTAATACTTATACAGCATGAAATAGAGTACTAAGGTGTGACGTCATAAAAATGAAATTTCTGAAATTATGGGATTTGTCAGGGTATTCTGAAAGAACAATGTCCAAGAGGCCTACTTGCCAAAAATGAGCATTTGGGGCAAATTGTCTCTGAGATCGTAGCCTAGTTATGCTTACAAAATTCCATACAAACCCTTCTAAATATTTTTTGGGTCGACCCAAGAAAAATTAGAGGGGGTTTGTAGGGAGTTTTCTGAGTATAACTGGGCTACGATCTCAGAGACAATTTGCCCCAAAATGCTCATTTTTGGCAAGTAGGTCTCTTGACATTGTTCTTTCAGAATACCCTGACAAATCCCATAATTTCAGAAATTTCATTTTTATGACGTCATCACTTTAGTACTCTATAAGGAATGCTTTTTATTACAACCATTTTTCTGTAGAAGGGTTTGTGGCAGCCTAGAGACCTGGCATTAACAGTTTCAAGTCTTGGACAAGATAACATTGAGTGGACCATTCCGTCATTCCCTGTTCTGACGATAGAATTTGTAAAAGGAACTGTTTCTATAACTGGTAGAAGGACAGGGTGGCCTGCGCTATTCCAAGCTGATGACAGTGGACGGACAAAATGTGGAGATGAAATCATTGCTCAAAAATGGTGTAACATTGTGGTTGAAAACATCACATATTTGGTCATTTGGGAATTTAGACGGTCTGAACCAGTAGAGCCGGAGGATCATTCAATTGTTAATGCTGATGATTCTGATGATTCAAATGAGGAGAACGATTCTTCAGAAATTGAGCATACTGTTCCTTTCAAAGTACTTGGTACTGCATATAAAGGACGACAAATTATCCTTAAAAATGCATACGAGTGTTTGGAAAATAACAAAAAAGATGTACAAGCGCAGCTCCAACCAGAGCCTGAAAATGATTATGACCAAAATGCAATAGCCGTATTAATAAACTGTGGTAGTGGTTGGAACAAAGTTGGTTACATTGCCAAAGAGTTAACAAGTGACATACACCCTATCATTGAAAGAAACAACATCAAAGTAACTGTTGCACGCATTCGCTTTAGAGTAAACTACTTGTTAGTTGGCTTTTATGTAACCTTAAATATCACTAAAAAGGGACCCTGAGCTCCAAAGTTGTCAGGGCCTCAAGAAAAGTCCAGTAAAACTTTACACGTGTAAATGTAAATAAGTTAGAAAAGTGCATTATCTTTGTCCCAATTTTAGTTTACTAAGGCTAACATCAATATGCAAAACTATAAGTTAATAAACTTATGCTACACTGTTGGTGGTGGAGGTAATTGTTCTGGTGCTCTGTGAAATGAAGCCCTGACTGTCAGAGAATTTCTTTGTGGCAAGGATGCCCTATTTGCCACAAAAACCCCTGGATCAGAACGTCTTGACAACCTAACCCTGTCCAATCTTTCTGTTTGACCTGATGCATCATTGAAGGAAGGCAGTGGGGCAGTTGTGAATCGATGTCGGTGTCCTGTCCAGTAGTAAAATTGAAGCTCTGGGTCTATCTTCTTGGTAAACTCATTTAGAATTTTGGGTTGCTGTTCTAAAAATTCCTTGGGTCAAACACATCTCCAAGTTGATCATGGAGATGTGCAATGAAGCCTTCAACGTCATCTGTGCTGCTTGCACGTGGGTGCTCCGGGGCAAACCTCTCTTTGATACTCTGCTCGACGGAGTTCAAGGCTTTCACAGTTCGCAATCAAAGCAACCACAATTTCTCTAGTGAAACCTTTAATACCCTTTATAGGGCGCATGACATCAATAGTTGAAAAGTCCCTTTCGTACTCATGCCAGGGCATCCAATCAGTCAACAGAAAATTGATCATGTCATTGTTATACTTCGACCGTGTTTCCTCTGATAGTCCCCGTCCATCTGCCGCCTTATGCCAGTTTCGAACAGTTTCAACAAAGTGTGCCTCTGAAGTATGGCCATTCCTTTGCATGAACTCCAGTACACCCTTTGAAAACACCTGTTCACAATGTGGTACTGACTGTTTCTGTTTTCCAGTTAAAGCCTCATAAGTTAAACCTGTATTTAAAAAAAAATGCCGTTGCTGAGGCTTCCAAAAACTTTTTGATATTCCTTTTTAAATACTGCTCAATTACATATTTTGTATGTAAGCAAATTCCTTTTGTATTTTGGAGAAATTTTCAGTGAAAGAAAAAAAAATGTACATGTGGTAGGTCAAAAGCAATTTTGTTGTCATGGTCATGACAAGAACATTAATAATATTAACCCTTTCACTTCCACAGTCAATAATTATGGAGACATGTAAAGCACTAGTTCTAACTTTTGAGTCTGTGGACAAAATCGTATGGTGTGACCATTCAAATGAAACCTCTTCAGCAGTACATTTTTTACGGAAACATTAGTTTTTCAATATTTTACAAAATGAAATCTGGTATTTTTCTTGAATTTTTTTTTTTCTTTGGCACCCTTGGGAGTTAAAGGGATAGTAATTATTAGAATGAATTACATCAGTTCATATAAGGATAATGTGAAAAGACAAAAAAAAAGGCTATTAACCCTTTCACGAACTATCAAAAAATAATCAAAGCAAGAAATGTCAGAATGCCATTTTCTATGTCATCAATATACCTGTAGTACACAGGTATGAATACAAGAATTCATTTAAACCCAGAGGGGTCAAATGAATCATTATTATCAAAACATCATGATTAAAGGTACATGTTCACCCAATCTGCTGTGTGTGTTTGTGTTTTTTTTTAAAAACAGGTTCAATTGTTCAATGTAGCATTATGATTGCCTGGAACGTTAATTTTAGATTTTCCATCAGTGCAAAAAATAAGCTTGGGCGCACATTGCATTTTGGATGAACAAGGGCCTTTAATAGACTACACACACAACACAAATAATTGTTATTAACCTGAATGAGCATCATGCAGGGCATCTCTGAAGTAGCGGGTGTCAACCCCTGGGATTTCACCTGCACGAAGACATTCAGTGATACGTTTAAGAACATGGTTGTGGTCTTCTCTCTCATGTATGTATTCCCCAGTGACATCACACAATTCAGGCTGGTAAAGGTGTTTGCTGAAGTCCACATTTAATTCTTCTTTCATTCGTTTTATTTTGTAGCGGAACAAGTATGTTGCCATCAAAGACTTAAGACAACCTTTGGTATCCTCTTCAGCCACTGTTTAAAGGAAAAGAAACAATTGAAAATAAATGATAAATAGAACTGAAAGGTACATTGACAGTACATGGCACCTTAGGCCATGGGTAGCCTATAAACTGGCCCTACTGATCCTCTATAACAGCCCGTGCACAGGCAGAGATTTAATGTAATAATAATTTCATTTTTAAATTTTGTTATTTAATATGCAATTTTAAATTAGTAGTTGGACTTCATGCCGTACCATTTGAGGGTAATAGTGCTCATAAAACAAGAAAGATATTACAAACTACAGCATATACTTTTTGCATCCCAAGGATAAGGGTCATAATTGGCAGGAAACAGCTTCCGTTTTAAAATGTGGATGGCGCTTTCAAATGGTACTTGATTGCCATCAGCATTCATGAAGTCAAAGCCATACAATGTCCTCAACCGGAATGGCTGGGTGTTGAGCCTGACCTCTTACAGAAAATGTCCCATTGGCACCTGTTAGGAAGAAAAGTTAAGGTTTTAAAATACATGCGAATTGCCTCTTCGAAACAAAGGAGATTCAAATCAATCTAGGTTGAAATCATTTTAACCTGAATTTCATTTCCACCTACAACACACACACACATACACACACACATATGATAGTGAAGAATTTCCAGTGGTCAGATTTTGGCATAGATAAAACATCAGTTAAAGAAAAGTTACCTGGGACTGCAACTGGTGTGAAATACCTCCGTATGGCATTAACATTGGTGCTTCTAGCCTCTGACTTTGAATCCATCATCACTTGAATTATGGAAATAGCTCTTTTTGATCCCATAGTGCGGATGGAGTTAAATTCTCCATCTGTGACAGTGCCTAAAACAAACAAAAAATCAGATAAATAAATTGTTGTTTGGCTTATTTCAAATTACAATTTTGGGAGGTGGGGGGGGGGGTGAAGATGCAAATCACCATTCAGTTGCTGAGTAAAAAAATGACAATTATTTAAAAATTCAACAGGCTCTATGCACTCTAAAAGTACCAATATACTCAGCGCTATGCCAGTCTGGTCTGAGAAAGGTGGCTTTTAAGCAGCAGAGCAGCCCCTTTCTGTTGTATAAACTTAAGGTAGTTAACAGAGACAATTAAAGAAAAATCTTAACTCACCAACCACAAGCATTCCCAAATTTACCATGGCACTCCGTAGCTCCATACACAGTTCACGCAGTTTATTGTCAGTCACACTGTGGTAAGGTATAAATCGTACAGGAACAGCATAGGGCTTCATGTCGCGTTTTTCATCGGCTATCATGAACACCATGAGATGAGAGGCAGCTTCTCTATGCTTGGAAAAAAGATCCTTAGCATAGGAAAGAAGCCTTTGGCGTAAAGAAGTGAGATCACCAGCAATATTACCATCTCTCTGGTTTGTTGAAATTCTTAAGTGCAGGCTGGAAATTGAAGACTTTAGGTCTTTGTTAATGTTAATGAGAGTCTGGAAGCATTCACACTCCCAAGCCAATGCAAACATGCCATCTTCAGAAGCATTTGACTGACGTTGTTTAGCTGCATACTTGTCTTTTGCAGCTTTCTCTCCACCAACCAGAAACCTTAAATCGTTATCCAAACCAGAAATCACAAGCGCCATATCTTCTTTCATTCTTACTCTTCGATCCTTAAGTCCTAATCCACCATAGAAGGTTTTTCTGTCCATGTATTCCTGATATAAAGTTTGAAGCTTTCCATCTCCCAGGTCACAATCTCCTGCCCACTCATGACGCATTGACTCACGCAGTCCCTTTCGCAGGTCACATGCATCTGCTTTAATCCACCAACGTCCGTTTTTTTGTTTCTTTCTTTAATCTTCTTAAGAACAGCGACCTAGCAAGAAAAAAAGAATAACAAGTGGAAAGAAATCCTCATCTACTATAAAGTGCTCAATAGCAGAGCTAGAGCTAAGAATAATTATACTCCAAGAGCTAGGTTATTCGAACATTTACATTTTTTTGTTGCCTGAAGATTGCTTCGCAAGAAGCATGAAACTCAGAGTTGCAGTAAATGTTCGAATAACCTAGCTCTTGGAGTATAATTATATATATATATATGTTTTTCAAATATATTTCATATCTATTTAATCATATGTGCACTCACCTGAACATTTGTGTCTCTTGAAAACTCAGCAGCCTGTATACGACGTTGAAGAGTCCTTACAGAATGACCTGCAACATTGACTTTAGCTTTCATCGGATCCACTTCTGTCCTTTTCTTTTTTATGTGCCTGTGGGCGAATACCATGAAATGTTTCCAGTTCTATTGGTCTATCGCCGTTTGCAATTTGTTCTTTTTCTTCAGAACCAAGTCGTGCCCAAAGGTAGCTCACTTCTTCATTGACCTGGTCGTTCACCTCAAGCTCGTCTTCTGCCTCAACAAGGGTTTCAACCTCAAGCCCATATCCTGCCTCAACAATTGTTTCAACCCCAAGCCCATCTCCTACCTCAACAATGGTTCCAACCTCAAGAGGGTCTCCTGCCTCGACAACAGTTTCAACCTCAATCCCATCTCCTGTCTGAACAATGGCTCCAACCTCAAGAGGGTCATCTGTGTCAACAAGGGTTTCTACATCAAGGCAGTCATCTGCCCCAACTTTCTCTCTAGTGGTATCTTGGTCTTCAACCTCATCTTGTACCCCATTCTGGGTACCCACTTGAAATGTTTCATTCCATGCTTGTTGAAGGATACTTGAGGAACCTTGCTCACTGCTGTTTGTGTTGCTGGTGCTATTACAAGCTGCAGCTGAGGAATCATCAACAACAGTCTCATCATAGGCAAACCCTGGTCCCCTCTGTAAGCAAATCCATTTATGACCAAAGTTGGAGAACATAGTTGTCTCCCACTCCACAAAATGGGGGTCTGATGAAATGTTGTTCACAGTGTCCATAGCAAAATAGCGAATATTGTAGCTTAATAATCCAAACGGCATCTTGTCAATAGGGAGCCGTGGACCTGAACCATCTTTCCGTGACATTCCAAGTCCCCTGGCCAAGTAATAAAGAACATTTTCTTTGCCATTGCTATGAAGTACATTAATGCCCTTGCAGCATAGTTTAATAAAGTCAGAAGGAATAAATGCTCGAAAATCATGATCAAGTTCTAAAAACATGAACTGCCAAAATAAGTTCTGGATCAAGTCCCTCTCATACGCGAAGTCATCAATGTCAACAGTTTAATAACCTTGGCAATGGTATCTCCATGATTGTATGTCTCATGGTTTGTTGAATTGGCATGTGGAGAGTGCGCCAATATTGGAGATAATGGGGTGTTCTTCTCAAGCATCGCCTGTGGAGTCGAATTTACATTCCCAGGAGATGTTAGTGTTGATGAATTTTCATAATGAATGTCTTGCAATCCACCACTAAAATAGTTGACCTGGAGGTCATCTTCTGCTTCCTCCAGTGTTGCATACCTTTTACGCAGGAAGGAGTTGACCTGATAACGGCATGCACTCCCTGAAAAGAAAAGAAAATATAAATCGGTTTGTTTCACCTCACTTACTGTAAGCCACTGTAAGTTCCTTTTGAACTAAAACCTTCAGCAACTGCTACCTTCCCTCCACCCTATTTTAAGACAAACCACTATCAGGCCTGCTCCACTATGTTATAATCTCTTCATTACAGAGTTATTACATTGTATAAAATAACTAGTTGAGTTGTGTAGGAGATCGCACACTATCAATGTATTCAAAAGCTGATGTTTTGAATGACTAAGAGCAAACAACCCAGACATCATCAATATCATCATCATTATCACCACCGCCACTAGGGGACAAACCTCTTGCATATAATTATTATCCTGCCGACCAAAAATTATGCCCTACTACGGCCTGGAGTGAAATATGTTTACCTGATCGTCGTGGCATTCCAGTTGTACAGGCCAGAGCATCTGCACATTTTTCCCAGAAATTGATGTCTTTGAAAGAAGGCCATTTAAACAATTGATCTTGTTCCACTGGGGTAAATAGAGCAATATACTCAACCAATGCTCGCCTTTCCTCCACAGACCAAACTGGGGACTGAGGTGGATGAGGGACCTTGAAGATATTAAATAAATGGTAACATAAGTAAACCTACATATAAACACACAAACAAAAAGACATCCTTGATAAACCCTGTGGTGGAGGTGGCTGGTGTAACATCTCTAAAGCCACACTTTATTTTATGATTTTTTTTTTTAAAATTTTGTCAAATGTTTCATTTCATCACAGTGCGAGTGTGAAAACATAAAATTACTGCTAATGTTATCTGAGTAAAACTACAAGAAATAATGGATTCTAATCCACAATCTATGGATACTGGCCAATCTCTTGTTGGAGGCTACATTTGTACATGTATAATTTATTCACACGTGAAAAACATTCTTCAATAATGACAAATAAGTATCTTATAAAAAGACCATTTAACTGACTCAAATACAAAATCAGAAGGAATTCGTGTAATTCGACTCTTTTTACCTTTTCTGGCTTGAAATTAAACAAATTCTTTCTCGATTTGATGTTATTTTGACCTCCAGTTCTGTTGACTTTACCAGCCGGTTTCCCGGGAGTGGAGCCACTTGGCTGGGTCGATCTCTTCATACCAGTGTGTCCTCCACGGCCTCTGGCGGGAAAACCCGACGGGGTAGACCCGGGTAGACCCCGAAATTGTCAAAGAAGACTACTTAAACTCACTAACGGACCGAAAATATTGACAACAATCAATAACAGTAAGGAGCTACAAGTCCAAGAAAAGCAGTGAAATTTACAACCAAAACAACATGGCGTCTCACACGAGACCGTCACCTTTGAAATGGTCGCAAAGCCGAATAAACGTTTCTTCTTAAAAAATAACTGCACCAGCACTAAGATAAATTAATTCGCTAACTTTATAGCGAATTTTGATTAAGAAAAAATGATTACAATCTTCAAAAACGACGAAAATCTCAACTCGTGTACCTCTCAAAACTGCTCTTCTCGAGCACGAAATCTACTCCGAAAATAACGCATTCTGATTGGTTAAATCTCGTGACGCACACCGCCTGGGGAACAGCGGTGTTTTAAATTCCTAATAAGGCAGTTTGTATCCTTAAACAAAACGAAAATAATTTTTTCCATGACCGATCGGAAACCGTTCGTTGCCTGTGGTTTCTGTGGTGTGAAGATCTCACCTGTGATTGGTTGCAACACAATAAACATTCCAGACATATTTTAGGTGTTCACGCCAATATAATCACCGCTGTAAATAGTACTTTCACACTCACGCTTTAGATTTACTATTTACTAGCCTCGGATAGTTTTACTTTATATTTGTAAAAACTTATCACTGGCCCTAGAGACAATGATAGATGCAAAAAGTAACACTGTTGTTAAAAATATAAGCTTACAAGTATACCCGAGTCCCAAAATCCTGGTTAATGATTTAGATAAGCATCAACCCTTAGCTGATGCTTTCTCTAAACCATACAACCTACACGCAGGATTGTGACTATAAGCAACCTCTATCGAAATAAAAAGGGAAACTAATCCTCCAAACCCAAATTGGAGTTAAGTGGTGTGGTGTGAAATAATAGCCTGAGCAAAGAGATAAACTAAAAGAAGTCTGACAGTAAGCGCAACCGAAAAATCTCCTTTTGGAATCTTAAAGAGCATTTTGGGCAATAATTTCTTTAAGAGTGGTGTTATCGTGATAGGAGTTTGTTAGCGCTTTTGTCCACTCAATTCTTTTGTTTCTCTAATGATGCAGATATCTTCGAGATAACAAAATCCAGAAACTGGAGACAGCAACGTTCTCAAGTCTGACCGAGTTAACGACATTGTAAGTTGTACTCGTTGAAGTGTTCTTTATTTATTTGAACTTTTTGTTGTTATTGGCATTTGCATTCGAGTTAATGCTAGGGAAGTGTAAAGTACTATCATCTCTATAAGTAGTATAGTAGGCATCGAATTTTTTTGCACAAAAATAAATTAATACCGATGAAGTCACGGCCATTTTTTTTTATCTCATGAAAAAAAAAAAAAAAAATGCACAGGAATCTGATTAAGATAAGGCCGTTTGCAACTTTTAGTTGGTTTAACCGGTCTTACAGGTTTTAAGTTATTTTTAGATGGATGTCTTCGTTTTCGATTGGTTTATTAAAAAATACGAAACGTTCTCATCGGTTTATTCATAATGTCTCAAGAATAAACTCAAACTTGTCTTTGACCTCAAGTCACTGAGCAGTAACTTAATTATGCAAGTTCTATTCTCAGCCGCTGCCATTTGCCGTTGTCCTAGTTCCAGTTCTATGATTTTTGGCCTCAAATCGTGAATATTGATGAGGGCGAAGGATAAAATAAGAATGGAACATAATAAAAAAAGACTTAGTTTGCCTTCGCCCTTCTTATATTATTTAGGGCGATATCAATTAGAGAAGAAAACTAAAGGATCGGAAGAGAAAGCGGATATTTTTCACATGTATGTTTTCCTCATCAGTACTCAAAGGAAAGAGAGGATAATAAATTTTAGCTTAAACGGCTCCTGATTTTAGATTCTTTAGTGTCGTATTTTAATATTCTAATTTTCGCAAAGAAACACAAAACCCTTTTTCATCTGCTTGGAGATAATTGAGTAATCTGTACGTTACGCGCGGAATGCATGATTTTCAATGTCCGTCTGTGTTTTATGTGATTCAGTGTGAATTCCACGTTTTATTCCATCCGATCAACTACGCTCAGCACACTGTTCACATACAATACCGTACAAGAAATCCTTACAAACAAGCAAGTGTCCGTTGCCGTAACCTTGAAAATTGTTGCAATATCGGTAATGATTCCGTAATGTTCTAGAAGGAGAAAGGCTACTCTTAGTGATGCCTTGGTGATTATAGACGGGGTATGACTGCGCACATGCCTTTCCATTTATCTTACGGATTCAAGCATGTAAAAAACTACAATCCTTAACACTGGTCCCCTGTATACGATTATAGTTGCTACAAATGACTTTGCCATCAGGCGTTAAATTTATAAGGGCAGCGCTGATTGAAGTATTAATGCTATTAAGTTTGGGATTGGAAGGGGGATTTGCCTAAGCTTGTGCTTTTCTGTTTTCCATAGAACTTCATAAACATCACTCGCTTCTCTCTCTGGCTATATAAATGTTTAGGGCTTAAACTTCCAAACGGTTTCACAGTAAAATAGCACAATTTATTCGGATCAAATAATCGGTAAATTGATCAAGAAAGTTTGGTAATAAGAAAGCCAAGGATTACCAGCAGCGATCAAACCACCACGGTAGTCTTATTTATGCATCATGGACTTTTATAATTCCTAGCTCGTCATCGAAATAAAAAAATTAAAAAGTGAGTTTTAAAAAAATATCCAGTGAAAAGTAACAAGCCTTCCACCAGCTTTGTCAAAGGAGAGTTTTTTACAGCATACACATTCAACTTCACTTGGCATGACTGTTCATCTTTCACAAACACACAGAGAAGAATCTGTCAGTTGACTTTCAGTGCTCGAAGATTGAAATTACGAAACTTCTTGTTCCCCTGAATCCAGGGTTTTTCTTCAGCTTCTTCGTTGGAAGAGTAGTCAGGGTCAAACTGATAAAGCTGAATAGATATCACGATCGCTTCTGCAGGTCACGACACGAAGCTTCATGTTTTCAATAAAAACACCAGAATTGCGTGCAGGCAGCCATGGTAAGCAACCATATTACGTCATCACCCCAGAGAGCATTGCACGCCGAGGAAAATGGCGGACGAGTAAAGTTTGAACCAATCATTCTATTGGCCTCTTTTGAACGGTTAAAAAAGAAACTAAAAAAACGAACGTTTTTCTGCGCCAAAATTTTTTTTTGGGGGGTCTTAAAGAACATTTGAACAAGATTTTCTTTAAGAGAGGTGTTATCGTAATGGGAGTTTTTATCGCTTTTCTCAACCCCAATTTACTGTCATAATGCAGATATCTTAATAATAACAAAATCCAGCAACTGGAACCAGGAACGTTCTCAGGTCTGAGAAAGTTACAGAGATTGTAAGTTGTACTTAATTAAGTGCTCTTTATTTATTTAAATATTTTGTTGTTGTTGTTAGTATTTTCATTCTAGTTAATGCTATAGTAATGTAAAGTACAGCCACTGTCATCACCATACTACACTATCAAGCCATGAATTTGCCGACTTTAATCTGTTAACGAACTGAGTTGGTAAAATCTGTCCTGTTTGTTTGTGTGTCTTTGTTATCTCAGTGAGGAATTCAACGGCAATATTTTATATTAAAATAAGATAGTGTGTGGTACAGACTCTTTATATTAAATATCACAAATTGCGAACTATTGAGAGAAATTGAAATTATAGAAGTAGATTATTTAGGACGCTATCATGTAGGGAGGAAAACTAAAGGATCGGAAGAGAAAGCGGGTATATAAAGTTAAAGTTACTACGGGCTCGTTAGTTATCTGCTTGGAGATAATTGGCTACTGTGTAGGTTG